AGAATCTCTACGTATTCCCAAGAAATACGTAGAGGTATTTCATTAGAAGCAAAGGCTCCCATAAGCGCACCCATAAAAAAATCATTTTTTGAAATATATATTTAATTTCAGAAAAAGGTAGTTTTAAAAATGATAAATTCGAGCACGTAAACTGAAAGCAAACTGGACTGTTTCCAAAAAAAAAAAAACATGAGATGGGACCAAAACAATAGGTCTGTTTCTGCAGAAATCACAAACCAGTCAGAGCGAATTTCATTGGTTGAAAACAGTCAGAAGCAGTCAGAAAACTGTCACTCTGACTGGTTTGTGATTTCTGCAGAAACAGACCTAATATTTCGTTAGATTTTTTTTTCTTTTCATTTTTTAGGGATTTGTATCAAAAAAGGGTAGCTTTGTGATAATTTAACAACAGTACCATAAAAAAACAATGTTTATTCAAAATATCAATAATAATATTACAAGAGTTGAGGTAGCTACTGACAACAAAAATATACTTAAAGCAAATTGATCAATAATGCAAATACTGAAAATATAATGCACTGAACTTTCAAGTGAATATTGGGTGGTATGAATAAAAACGAAGTATCTGCTACTACTACAAGTATTAGTAGATTCTCCGTAGTATTTACTTTAAAAACGAAGTAGATACTACATTTCGAAACTACCGGAAGTTAGTAAATCCTTCTTTTTGACATGAATACTAAGTAGATTATACCTACTAATACTTGTAGTAGTAGTAGGTACCTATTTCGTTTTTATTCATATCACCCATTGAATACTTACGAAAAGTACTATGAGTACCTATATTTGTTAAGTTGACTATAGCATCAGAATGATATTATTGTCACCATTAAGGACGCCATGTATGATGTATGAACTTAGTACCTAGTACCTACTAACCACTGTTTAGTAGTCAAAGTAGAGGCAGACCAAACCACTATTTGGCCAACCAATAATTTGGTTCATTTGTTGACAGAGTATGTTGATAAATTAATCCAAATGAAAATTAATTTCTTGCTCCCGACAAGTTCCAAATTGAGCCAAGCTTCATCCCTTTTTGAAAGTTGACAAACTTTTGGTTTTATTCAATTGAATGGTGGACATAACACCATTAATAAAGATTATTCCAATACGTTTAATTCCTAATTGAGGGGTTCAAACAAATCACGAATATACATTCTTCAAAAATCAAAATTAATGAATTTTTTTTTGCATACTTAAACATGAATGAGTACCTCGACAAGTACTCCTCAACCTGGACAGTACTCTAGAACCGCTGGTGCTTGCAACAACAGGAACAGTAGGGACTTTAAAAATTTTAGCATTAGTTTTTGAAAATCTATAGTCTCCACTGCTAAAATGGTCTGCACAAACATACGTCCATTTGCTTACTGAGCTGGATTTTAAATTTAATGCTCCTAACCATGTTTTTCCCATATCATAAATTATCCGGATACTAAAAAATAGTGTTAAATAGAAATACAAAATTAAAATATGTACCATGTTGTATTTTTGTGGCCTACATGCACCTCCGACACTGTTTTTTTCCCCCTTCAATCATGTCGATGTCATAAGTTTTGTTTACTAACGGGTGAAATGATAAACAATCCGCTGGTTTTCCTCTTTTCTGACACACTGCACACTTATTAGTCATTTTGAAGCCTGAATAAGAAACTTTCATGAAATGTATAAACATGTAAATGATAAATTTTTAAACAATTCCACTTTAAAGCAGTGAAACACCCAAAAAAGTCGATAAAATAAACACACAATAATATATATTGACATTTACGCTGGTACGGAAATCGGTTTTTATTGGGAACCACCCAAACAATATACTCTGTTTAGCTAGACTTGTATAGTGTTCTTTTCGTTTATATATTGCCTTAGAGAGAGATGTCTAAAGATCCAAAATCTAAACGGTTTTTTGGAAATCGTACTATAGAAAACCAGCGTAAACAAAGTAAGAGAGACAAAATCAAAATATTTGGAGAGAGATCTTTGTACCATATTTGGGAGTTTATTACTCATCTTTTAGTGCTAACTATATATAATCCAAGGTTCAAACATTAAATTTTTACATACCGTATACATTCTAAATTTGACAGGTACCAGACTATTATGAACAATTGTTTTTCCAAAAGAATTTGTGGACGTCCTAGATTGGGGCCAGCTTCTGGTAAAATCGAATGTAGGGTTCCTAACAAAAACTGAAATGTGGCTGGGTTCATACTAAAATAAAGAGAATATTCACATTAGAAAACTATAGCCACAGAGTTTTGTTGAGGAGTCTATGAAACCATTAACACCCAAGAGGTACAAAAAATATGGAAGAATTTGGAAAATTGTGTCATTTGAAAGAAATCCTGTAGTTCAAAATGCGGACAGGACAATCCCTCTCATTAAGACGCTAGTATGAAGATATAATTTTGCGTGTGGACCTATTCAATGATGAAATGAAATTTTGCCACCAACACTAGATTATAAACTCTTACTATGGCTATTTCTCAAAGGGAAGATATCGTTGCACCAAAGAGGTACTGGGATGGGATTTTAAACCTACCGGAAATGGGACTGAAACTGTCTGTCATTGAATCTGGGGATAACCTGTTCTGAAAAGGACAAACTCTTTGCGACCTCAGTTCTCTCGTCCTGATCGTCTTCTAAAATATCCAAGATTAGCGCTCCCCTGAGATTATATACAGGCTAACACATTATTTACCGACTAACAATAATATTAATTTATAAAATCTCATCAAGTAATCAGACTGCAAATCACAGGCTAGTCACGAGACTTAAATTTTTGTAAAATGTTCAACATTATATCAAAAATAAAATATTTCATTTCAGGCGTCCCTGGATGGTTCAGCTTTTGCTATCGTCAATCGGATGCTAAAAGTTTAAAAAAAGTAAAAAGGGTACTACCACTGAAAAATATGGACCTGACCTCCGATCCTTTGCTCTGACTCTAGCATTTTATCCCCCTAGGGCATAGGGAATATAACTTTGTCAGACGGACCTTTATTAAGTCGTTACCTGATCTGAATAGAATATCCCATTGGTGTAGAGTCGTGGATGGCAAACCGGGATTCACAAATAAAGCTCTTGTTGCTCTTAAACTAAAGACTACAGATGCAACCAAAAACATTATATCGCGAGTGAGCTGGCAATACCTCCTATGTTATCTTGCCTCACTTTCCAGGACGTCATAAAAACTATGTAACTCTGGAATGGCTTGCTAGATTGCTTTTTTATTTGGAATGATGATAAAATAGTACACAAGAACAAGATTTTTATGATAGTTGAGAAAAAATTGTAACACCATTGGTTTTAAATGCACTTAGGAGCGATTGCTTTTATAAAGTTGGAATATAGGACATTATGCTCTCGATTTTTGCTATAAAGGGAGTTATTGAAATGAAGGAATAATTGAGCTTACATTAGTTTTATTATTTTCAAAAGTAACTCAGGATTGCATTTCTAAAAATTCTAAGAAATAGAAAAAATATTCAAAAGTAGGTACATAGATACAAAAAAACAAAATATCCAAATTCAGTAAAATAAACTGAGATTAACACAAAATAAAAAAACATTCAAATTCAGTAAAACAAACTAAGATTAACACAACACAACAACAAAAACTACATCTTATTTGGTATGCAAAATATTGTCATAAAATACATGAGTGTCTTTAGGCAGTACCGATTTAAGTTCCTGTAGATGTTCCCATTTAGATTTTTTAATTTTGCTAGGTGCACTTAACAGGGGTGGGTATGAATCAATAACTGGGATCGATTTGGGCCTAACTGGCAGACTTATATAGGGTTCTTCAAAGGAAAGCTTAACAGTTATTTCAGGAGTTGGCAGCGCAGTGTATCTGATACATCTTATGTCATTTATTACTGGCTTATTATAGGCTCTTTTGCCAGGTCTGAGAGAAGTGTATCTTAAATATTTTTTTTTTTTAGTTTCTGCATAGTTTTTAAAGAAATTAAATTCCAGCAACTTTACATCATAAGGTCTAGGAGTAACCCTACATTCTCTTGACACTAAGCAATAATCACTTGGTAAGTGAATTTCTCTGTTTTTTTTAATTTACGCTCAATTAGGCTATGAACCGAGTCACATTCCATTTGGGTATGCCCCGGTTCAAGAGACTTTTGGTAAATGGTAACTTCATGTTTCATTGCCAAGTTCAGCAAAGCATTCGCCAACACTTTGTTTCGGTTTTGAAAACCACATCCGTCGGAGTAGATGATAATTGGTACTTTGGATTCTGTTATGCATTTGGATTCTAAATGATCAATAATACACGTTGTAAACGTAGATGCACATAAGTCACTCTTCTGATCTTCAGAAAACCAATAGCATGTGACGCCCCTTGTGGCAAGATCATAGATAGTGAAATTATGACAGCATAATTTTGTCTTGAAGTATAGTTTTCCTGCAGGAACATAAGGCGACAACTTAACCGCTTGCAAATCCATTGTCAAAACAATACATTTACCCTCTTCTGCTAACTTTTTGTCTTTGATTTTTTCTTCCCTAGCTTTATTTTTATTTTCATGTGTGTGTTTTCCACTTTGACTCCTGAATGTTATTATATTTATAAGAAAAGCAAGTATTGCACTGATCCTTCTTAGGTGAAAATATAGAGAGGTTTTTCTCTTTAAACGCTTTTCTGAAAATTTTTCTGTTGAGAGGCTGACCAGCATCGACTTCTGTGCAATAGTCTGTGTAAGCTTTATAAAGATCAGTGAAGGTCTGGAAGGATTGCTCTAGGTAGAGTTTTGAGGTATCTTTTCTACAGTAATGTTCTGGCAACTTAGGTAACTGCTCAAAAAATGTATTTAGATTTTTGTACTGATTAGCGTATTTATCCCTCTTATAGTTGGTGTTCCTGGAAGATTCGGAACCCATGCCAAATGTACCCTTACTTACCCAATCTTGGATAGTTTTATATCCTAGGTCTAAAGTTTTTATGAACATTTGCCTACAAACTTGAAGTCTTTTGTCTCCTGAATTCAAATAATATAAGTATGTACCCTGTCTTCGCGATGCTTCTCTACCCCGTGCAGTATTTTGTTTGATTACATTCGAAGATACCTACAAAAACCTTTCTTTGACCCCAATCCGTTTCGTTCCAAAATTTACTAAAAATTTGTTGTCGTGTTTCTTCTGTAAATTGTTGACAAAATCTCTTAGTACTTTTTTTTCATTTTGTAGATTTGCATGTTTCTTTCAATCTTCGTTCAACCCTTTGAGTATCCTGCTTCATTTTCTCTCCTTTCTTCTTGCTAAAACCGAGATAAGGTTTTCCTTCTAGCCTTAGTTTTTTATTTTTATTTCTTTTCCACTCTTCCGAATTGGCAACTAATCTTCTTTTACGCGCCTTATTATTTTCTTCTTGATTCCCAATTTCTGCATCTAAATTGGCATTTTCTGTTCGATCAATCATCTCCGAATCCTCCGAATCGGAACTATTATTGTTGATTTCCGATTCGGGTTGGTAGTCTGAATCGTTATCTTTTTCATTATCATAGGTTGATTGGTAATTCTGTTCTACGACTCCTAAAACACAAAAAATAGGTCAGTATACTTTTGTAGATTTTAATGCTGAATCAAATAATTACCATCGTTTTTTTCTAGTGAGCTACTCCTCACTGATTCACTGCCAGTTTCATTGTTATCAAGCAAATCATTCATTACTTCAGATCTTTCTAGATTATATATTATATATATTTGTTGATTGTTCAAGTTCTGAATTGATCGATATTTCCAAAAGATTTAGCAGAGTTTGATTAATCAGCACACCATTTTCATCTAGCTCATACATATGAGATTCCTCTTCAAGCGATACTGTAGCGTTATCCTCCAACAGGCTATCAAAGCACAGGGAAACAAGATTGTTTTCTTCATTATCTTCTTTAGAATTCTCAAGCTCATTCTGTCCATCTAGCATCACCACCGGTAGATTTTCAATATCAAATTTTATTTTTTTTGTACTTTCGGTAGGTTCAATGACGTTAATATTATCACAGTTAGTTTCATTATAAGTCTTATTTTCTCTATTATCATTAGTATTCTTGGTTTGTTCATCAGTCTTATTAAATTCATTATTATCAATATCACTTTTGGATTTTTGGTTGGTAGTTATCATAGCTAAAATTTTCTTGCCTCGTGAAGTCATTCTGACAAAACCTCCTATTTGCACAATATTCTTAGATATTTTTCGAGGCAAAAACTCCTATCTAAAAGAAAAACCTTATAAGGCTATTATGGCAATAATCTTTCTATTTTTCAATATTGGAATTAAATTTCATAATGAGAAGACTTAGGTTAAAAGTATAATAACTCAAAACTTACCGCCTAAGCCACTATTAGCTTCAAAAATAGGAAAATTCGGGAGCACGACACACACAACAACTTGCCTCAAATACAACTGTGTAATAGGAGATATTGCAATACTGTTTTTGGGCAGCATTTTAATAGGAGAAATTTCAAGGCCGAATTTTCAAACAAACGAGATTTTTGGCCAATAGGAGATGTTTACTAACGGTTGCGGAACGTGCATCTGTATCTATATCACAATAAAGCTCAAAATCGTAAAAATGCGAGATAGGAGATATTGCCAGCTCAGCCGCGATATGCAATTTGGTGATGGATGAGATGTCTATTAGGAGAAGAGGAATAGCTCCCAGTTTACAGGATATGTAAACATAGGAAGCAATATCGAATCCGATGAGCTACCAGAAGCTAGAGAGCCATTAGTGTTTATGCTAGTGTGCTTGAATGAGGGATGAAAAATTCCTTTTAGATATTTTTTCACAAATGGACTTGTGACGAGTGAAAAGGCACACCTGGTTAATAGATGTTAGGAGTTTGTTGCTGAGTCAGGTGTAAAAGTAACATCTCTTACATTCAATGGAGCAGCCTCAAACATCAGCATGGCTCAAAAACTTGGAGCAGATTTCAGTGATGCTAATAATCTGGAAACAAGCTTTCCATATCCTGTAATAAAAGAAGATGTTTTTATCATGCCGGATCCTTACCGCATGATAAAGCTTATCAAGAATTGCTTCGCCTCCATCAAAGGTATTACAAATTCCAGAGATCAATCAATCAATTGGGATTATGTGAAAAATCTTGTGGAAAGACAGAATTTAAAGGATCTACATGCAGCAACGGAAGTGTAGCAGATGCTCTCATGTTTTTCTCAGAGGATCTATTTCGGGATGCAGGTCTAACTGCAGAGTTGATCAGGAAATTTAATGACCTTTATGATATTTTTAATTCCAGGTGCACGTTTGCAAAATATAAGTTCAAGAGGCCATTATAAGAAGTTAATGAAAACTTATTTTTTCCATATTTAGAGGAAATAAAAGACTACATTTTTGGATTGAAAATCAATAACGTTTCAATATTAAAATCGCAGAGAAAAACTGGTTTCTTGGGATTTCTAATCTGCATAGAGAGTCTAAAGTCACTTCATGGAACTTATGTGAAAAATAAAAAAACTTTTAAAATATATAAGTACATTTCAGCTTTCTCAAAACCATCCAGAGCTTTTTTTGGAGCAATTAGAAGCAAAGCTGGATTCAATAATATACTGCTAGTCAGTTTGAGGCGTCATATAAACGCCTTCTTGTCAGATCAGAAATTTCTGGTCCTAGCACAGGAAACGTTTCAAATACAGAGATTACAATTCTGACTTGTGGCACAAATAATTTTACAAAACTAAAAACGGAGATAATTTAGAAGAGGGGGATGATTATTTGAAACTATCAGAAAAGATCAATAAAAAAAATGAAGAATATGATTTCCTTAACTGTCTATCATGGGATGTGATACTTTTTATTGAAGATATTGTTGGTTATATTTCTGGATTTGTAGTAAAAAATTAAAATCTTGTGTAACATGTTTGAAAAGTTTAGATTTATTGAAAACCAGCAAAACACTGAGTAACTACAATTGAGGAAAACGTTCGGGAAATTGAAAAAAGCGTCTGAATTTGTTGTCAACGTTTGTGAAGATGGAGAAAATTTTTTTTAGATTTTTTATGAAAACCAACAATATCTTCAACAAAAATATTTAAAAAATTTCTGATATTTTAGTTCTCAACACAATAAGAAACTTGCCTACTTCGAAGAACGTTTTCATGATGAGAATTCTATGAACTGCCATCGCAATCATTTAATTAAATTACTTCTGCTTGAGGATTCATCATGAAGCATTCAAGAAAATGGAGCAAGGGGTAAAGAAAAGAGAGAGAAGTATAAATACAAAATTAATTTTTTTGTTTAAAAATGAGTAGAATTTAGATTTATGTACTACTTTTTTTTATTTATTTTTTTTCTATTTTTTATATGTAAGGTACCTGTTCCAAATAAGGCCACATTAAAGGCCGAAACCCAGTAGCAACACGCCACGCCATGTGACACAGGTTCACGTGGGACAGTTTGTGTGCAAATGGACGGATGGCATGGCATGCCATGGCGTGGTATCGCGTATGGCAAGTGTGTACGCAGCACATATAAATAAATGGAAGAATATACGCATACATTTTCGTCACATGGCGTGGTGTGGCGAAGCATGACGTGGCGTGTTGCTAGTGAGTTTCGGCCTTTAGAAGTTCTATTTTTTCCTAACATTATCCACCGAACCCAACAAAGATCACGAGCTTATATGTGAAGTGTTTCGCTTCTATTACTTGAATAATAACTCCAATTTATTTATTTTTTCATATAAGTGGTGGTTTTTGTATAAAACAAAGACGCTTACCATTGGCCTTATTTGGATCATTATGCTCCTAATAAGGCCACCACTGAAAATGTTTGAAATAAATACAATGTTTTATAAAAATATCATTATTCAATAAATAGAACACAAAATAGAACTTATACGTTTGCTGCATTCCTGAAAAAAAAAAAAAAAAATCGAAGTCCTGGGATGGTGATCCAAATAGGTCTACATACAACTAGGACAAATGAATCGCTCTTGCTTGGTTAGACTCCAGCACTTCAAAAAACATCACTCAGGTGTGACACATTCTTTTAAAAAAACACTATGATATCAGGCCAATTGAACATTTTCCGTATGATGGCCTTATAAGGAACATGTTAAATTGATAAAAAAAGTCTGTAACTAGAAATCTAGCAAAGATGTTATTCGGTACTTACTCTGTAGCTTTCTCAATACATAAATGTCCGTTAACAAATTACAATCGCTCCATTTACTTTATAAACATGTATACAGTGACCGCGAAAAAGTTTGCAACAAATGAGAAAATATTTTATTATTAAGATATCAAAGAGAATGTTATGTGGGATCGATTCAGCATGATGCAATGACCTCCAGAAAACAAAAATTTGGAATAACAAATTTGGAATTATCATAAAATTCTGAGATAAAATCTTTCTAAATGATCCAATACCTCTTTTCTAAATTTAATTAAACCATATTTTTCCGAAACGTTTTTAATATTCTCCAAATTACCAGAAAACAGACCAAAAAATTGATACTTATTAAAAATCCCTTTTCAAAAATTGACACAGACGTAAAATCGAATTCTGAACCACTTTTCTCTCTACAATTTTTCGATTTCTGGTCATTTAACCCCACTTTTTACATATTTGAGGCGAACTTTTTAAATTTCCCGCCATAACTGTGGTCACATGACATCTGTCACAGTGCTTTTTTTTGTTGATAGGTATGCTGAATTGATCCCACGTAACATTCTTTTTGATATTTTAATAATAAAATATTTTCCCATTTGTTGCAAACTTTTTGGCGGTCACTGTATAAGCTAATTGAGTTGCAGCCTCAAACTTATAAGGTGACATATGAAATATGTGGCTGGCCATTTTTCGAGATATGTCGAGTTGCTAGGAACCCTTGCAATAGTTTTTGATTTGCATTTTAGATTTTTTTTTTAATAATATTGTAATTTTTGAAAATGGGATTCAATATTAAGCAAAAAAGTGCACTGGCCTTATTAGATACAATACGTTTGTACCTATAAAGTTTAGTTTAGAATGGGTCTTTCCCACGATTTTTTTTTATTTGCTTATTTGAAAGGGTAATCAAAATAAAGCCCAGAAATATTTTTTTCGGATTTTTTTGGTACCGGGAAAGGCCTTAAATTTTTAATTGAAATTCAAAATTCTTAGGATGGTGACGTCACGCGCCTAGATTTTCTATTGGCTGCTTTCTTCAAGTGTTGCCATGCGGTTGCTGATTCTACGAATTGTGTTCTCAACTCTCAAGAATTCGATATCGATAACCCATCGATCTTGCTCGATTCTCTATGAATTTAACCTTATTTTTGAAATGTAAAGAGTGTAATTTTATTTTATTTATTTAAAAATATATAGCTGGAATGTACCTAATTAACTAAAATTGTGCCATTTCCTAGAACCCATTTACCTGAATTCTCGGTTTTTATTGGGGCGTCTCCTATAATTTTGTGCTAAACACAAAATGTAGCAATTCCGAATTTGCTTGGCCCTGAGACCCCCGAGGGTTAAAGCTGAATTTATAGTGTCAGTAGCAGTAACAGTTACTTAAAACTTAGGAACTGATATGGAAATATCCATTTCTTAAGTTTTACTGATAAGTTTGTTAAGTGGTTTTACGGTCGGCCATGTTTTAATATTTTACTGTTACTGCTACTGTTACTGATACCGACACTATAAATCCAGCTTAAACTGTGGTGGTTGGACTAATAATTAAGTACTCCACATTATAATTTTAAATCTGATGAAGAAACATGTAACTATTAACAAAAAAAATAACAACATATATACCATTTAATTTTGTTTAAGGGTTTATTAAAATTGATAATGCTTCCAGGTTTATAGGTACAATATACATTACAAATTAAATATACATATACCTAGGTATCAATTTATATAATAATGTGTACAGAAATCACCTAATCCTACTCACTTCAATGATAATATGATACAATTAACTTTCAATTTATTTATTTACAGAAACTTCATTTTAAAAGTTTCAACAACAATAATAAAATATGTATAACAATGTAGTAGTAAAAAAATTGTATGTAAGTACCTACACATACATACAAGTGAGATTTTCGTTTTTGGGGCCCAATGGAGTTCTCTATCAACACAATCTTTACCTATATTTTCAGCTCACAATGCTATTATTTGCTTCATCAGCCGTGAC